GACCAAACTGCGGGAAGTAGTGGAGGACAGGGGTGCCTGGCGTGCTCTGGTCCATGGGGTCACGAAGAGTCGGACACGACTAAACGACTAAACAACAACAACAACAACACTTCCAGCATTCAGCCCTTGATAGATGCTGGAGGAAAGCAAATACATTTCCTTGTCCTGAACTTCTAGTTAATGCATATGTTAGTTTAAACAAGTGAGGGCACTGTTTGTGTAGTACTCATATATATATATATATATATATATATATATATATATATATATATATATATATATATAATTAGTTTTCCAATATACCCTCAATAATGGCCAAATTATAATTCCCAAATTATACAGGTATCAAAATGCCAATCAACTTCCAATTAATACATTTTAGTTAAAGTGGCTCCCCGCATGGTGGTTTGGGTGCATTTCCGATCTTATATCACTTCATTCCATAATCTTAATTAATGTCAGTTACATTTCAGTTATAATAATAATTCCTTAGTCAACAGCTACAAAACTAATGATTTCCATTCGTGATGTTACAATATATAAATTTCTAAAGCTTCAAGTGAAGAACTCAAACTATTATCTTTATTCTGCCCTACGTGTGAAAACTGTTATGTCCATGGAGATTCCTTCTGTCCATAGATGGTGTTGTCTCTTTCACTTCCCAGTTGTTGTGTTCTCCCATCATGGCTTGGGGCAGAACTGAATCTCAAAGTTTCTCAGAGGTCTTATCTCTCCATCCCTTGCTTCAATGTCTCAGAACAGACAATAGTCTGCTAGAAACCATTCTGTTTCACTAATAAAACATGTCACAGATCTTCGCCATTTTCCCCTCAGCCTAGGAAAAGGTGCGCAGTTTTCAAATGCACTTACATTTTAATACTTCTTTCCAACTCCCAGAATCTCTGCAGCATTCTTATCACAGCCCCCTAATTCTTTTCCTTCCAGCAAGAGCAACAGCACACAAAAATCTTGGTCTCTTTTTCCTTGTCTGTTGTTTTTAAACGGAGCTGAGGGGAATTACTCTGTCTTTCCAACATAGTCATACTTGAGCTTCCCCTCCCCCTCCTTTCTTCATTTCAGATCACACACAGTTTCCATTTTTGCTTGTTAATATCAATATTACTCCAATGTCCCTTCCTCGCTTGTAAATATCTTATCTTATATTCTGGAGGGAGTTGCCGAATCATAAATATATAAAAGAAGCTTAGAATAAACAAACCGTGGGCTTCCCTCTCCCCAAACAACTCTCACACCAAAGGAAATCTTATCTCAATTCAAACCTTTTATCCATGTAGCTGGTATATTCTGCAGTATGTTGTTACAACCCTTTTCCATCATGCACCGGTACTTTAAAGCCAATTAAAGATCCAATTAAATGGAGAACCTCTGCTTCTTAAAGGTGGCATAGGAGGGGTTTTGCCAGGTGAAGTGCTTTTGCACTCAGCACCTCCCTGCCTCCCACATTCCATTCCATGCTGGAGAGAGAGCCAGGTACCGAGACAAACTGTGAGTGAAGCCCATTCCCCCCATCCCTGGGGGGAATTTGCAAGGATGATTTACCCTCTGACATCCTTGTTTTTCGTTCACTGATGATCCCCTGCTGTCTTGAGGGCTGCCTCCATTAAGGCAGGCAGGGCCGGAAGCCCTGGTGTGTAGTAATCTAGCCAGCACATGTCTGTAAGTTAACTATGCTTAAGTTAACTCCACCTCTAAAAAGTTGAGCCATTTTGTTTGCTGTTCTCTCCAGACTAGATTCATGCTATTTTCTCTCTCCGCTCATCCTGTAAATAGTTCCTGCATGAATAAAGCCTTTGAACTCCATAAATCATAAGTGATTATTCCAATCCAATTCACCCAAGCTGCAAGGTCTATCAATAGGTTACTACCAGTATCCCAATGCAATGCAGTCCTTGACAGTAAAACAGATGTGTACCCCACCCCCACCATATCCTAAAGTCAATGTTTATTTCCCCTTGGCTTGGCCATTCATGCCCCAGACCTTTATAGTGCCATATTCTAGCTTGAGTGGGGCTACAGATAAGCATGGCTGAAACCGCTTCAGCTTTTGCCTCCATACATTCACAACACTTTCTATTGGACCCCCTTTCATTTCTAGACATTTCACTCACTACTAAGAGGCCTGCAGGATCTCTCCCAAGTATCTGGGGGGAAACAGTGTGGCTGGATGCATGCTGCATACAGCCTAAGCACTTGTCTGGTCAGCCAGAATACATTTCGGAACAAAGAGGTGTATTATATAAGCAGCTTACTGCATTTCTCATCGTTCCCACTCACATATGGAAATTACTCACAGAGTCATGACATACACATTTACTGTACTGTAATTACAAGTCTGGCAATTTGCTCTGTAAGAAAAATTAGCACACCAGTGATAATTTGGCCAAAGTGGATTCTTTTCATTCTGGATATGTCATCATTTTTTCTCCTTTTTTCTTTTGAATGGGGCTCTCCCACGCACACATGCGCAATCGCCCTCCCTTGCACACGTCATCTTGGGATTATCTTCTTGACTCTTGCTGTGGTTTTTGTGCTCAAGGTTTAAACAGAAACATTCATAAGGAGATTATTTCTCCCCACAGGTTGCTTAAACGAGCAAGTTTCTCTCCGTGGGAATCCTTCCATCCTGCAACCTAGCACAAACTGCATGTTGTGCTAAATCAGAGGTAGCCAATGTGGAACCCTCGTCTGCCTGTTTCAGGACTACAACTCCCACAAAGCCCAGTTCATTGGCAATGTTGGCTGGGGCTGATAGGAATGGGGTTCAATAATCACATTGGCTACTCTTGTGCTAAATGCACAGCATTCAACTATGTCTGTTTCCTTGCCTCTTTAACTATAGTTGCAGGACCCTCCCCAGGTGTGATCTCTATAACATTGTGTCTCCACCCCTCCCTGTGTTGCATTTAGCTTTGTAGAGGAGAGTTCCCATTGGTGTTAACTGAAGTGTATTTTTCCAAGCCTCATTGATGCTCAGGGGGCCTGTCTTTATCATCTTGGAAGGGGGCATTATTAACCCTCCTCACCCTTGGGTTGCGATCCCAGGAAAAACCACCCTCATTGGGGCATACATGACTCTGCCCTTTCCATATTATCCTACAACATCCCGTGAGATGGATTGGGCAGAGGGTTGGTGTCTGTCCCAAGATCATCAGTGAACTTCATGGATGAAGAGGGGATTTTAATCTGCGTCTCCATAGTTCTCGAATGACACTCTAACCACTACACCACACTGCCTCTACTTGCTGCTAGTCACAAGAACTGCTATATGTGCAGGCTGGTAGCTACCTCCCCCTTTTACTGCAGGATTGTTATTTAGAGCTGGGGGAGAAATTTAATTCCGTTCACATTTCAAGGTGAACTTGCCTGATTTTAAACTTACCCAATTTGCACTTTCGGAAATACTATGTGAACTGAAAACCCTTTCAAAAATTTGCACTCAGGTGAATTTTGCAATGCAGTTCTCTAGCCAAGTAACGTGTACAATGCATATAACTAAAAAGTATGCATATATTAGTGAAGATAACATACAAATATCTATTATACCAGGGAAATTGTTTTGTGTAATGTGCATATATTAGGGGAAATCACATACAAAAATGTGTGTACTAGGAGAAACTCACACTAAATGCTGTTGAACTTTCATAAGGCTATGAAAACAAATAAACTGGTGTGAAAATGTGGAGAACCAAACTCAAGATTCAAAGAATGACAGATTCGACCCTACTGGTATTAAGGAGTCTGTTACTGGCAGCCTAGTTGTATTTTTCAAACCTACTGCATCCTCCTATGCCTGACAGGCCTCTGATGACACTCAGTTGTCTGCTGTTTGCGCAAACTGCAAATGTCAATATTCTCATCTACTTATTAACCAGGAACACACCTCCTCCACCTACTGCTAGACTGCTCTGCGCATCAGTTTAGCAGAAGTCACCCAGGCAAATCAAAAAGGTAAGCCCGAGAGGGTTGTCTGGGTCCCGTTCTGTTGATCTTGCCAACCTAACAGCCAGCAAACAGATTTGGTGTTGCCTTGACAGGAGGGTTTTCCATGGGGAGAAAAGCTACAGAAGACAGGGGTCCTAACCAGGTCTACACAGAAGTAAGTCCATTGCTCAGCTGGAGAAGTGCATTGCAGCATTTGGATAAGGGCCAATTTCAGATAGCTGTGTTTTGGTTTGCATACTGTTTCAGAAAATGTGAAGACCTTTATGGAAACTGGATCAAATTTCTGCTCCATCCCTAGTCTTAAGCCTCTCATCTAGTTTCTCCATAACCTTAGGATTTATTCATCTTAGGATGCCTATGCACCACCATCACAGTGAAAACTTATTTTTTCCCCATTTTGTCTGCTCTCCCTCCACTGTTGGAGGCAGTGTACGTCTGAATAGCAGCTGCTGGGAGCCACAAGGTGGCGAGAGAGTGCTCTTGTGCTCAGGTCCTTACCACAAGCATCCCGTTGGCCACTGTGAGACCAGGACGTTGGACTAGATGGGCTCCTGGCCTGATCCAGAAGGACTTCTCTTGTGTTCCTACGTCTCAGAGATACAGCTTGAGTGTGAGGAATCTACAGGTTCAGATGTGTGCAAGGAATACAGAGACCAGGCTAAAACTGAATTCAGTAATTCAATTACAGTGGTACCTCGGGTTACAGATGCTTCAGGTTACATACGCTTCAGGTTACGGACTCAGCTAACCCAGAAATAGTACCTCGGGTTAAGAACTTTGCTTCAGGATAAGAACAGAAATCGTGCTCCGGCGGCGTGGCGGCAGCAGGAGGCCCCATTAGTTAAAGTGGTGCTTCAGGTTAAGAACAGTTTCAGGTTACGAACGGACCTCCAGAACGAATTAAGTTCTTAACCCGAGGTACCACTGTAAGTTTAAAAATGGTTGGAACTGTAACGATGACAATTCTGCTATTGCTGAGATTTCGACGTGATCTGCCTTTGTTGTCATTTTCTGCACTCTTTTTTTCCCCTTCCCAGGCTTGAAATATACCAAAACCGAGAGGTTTTCGCCACAAGATTCCTCCAAGAATGACCTCTGAAGGATGTCGGATTTATGAAGGTAGGTCTCTTGGGGGGGGGGGTTAGCTCAGGGGCGGTAGAGCAGATCTTTTGCATGCAGAAGGGCTCAAATTCAATCCCTGGCATTTTCTTTAAAGGATGAAGTGATGGCAAAGAGCTCTCTCTGCTGTCAGTCAGAGCAGGTAATACTGGGCTGGACAGGCAAATAGACTGACATGGTGTATAGAATCTTCCTATGTTTGTCTTTCTGCTGGGGTTCTGATTATGTGAATGTTCACAACCTTCTGGGGCCAGAGATATTGAGTCGCCCCACCCTGTCACACTGATCCTGTTTGACTCATGTCAAAGGCAGCAGGGTTTCACAAACATTCCTCTGTTGCAAACAAGCCATTTGTGCAGAGAGCACGAGGAAGTGTCAGTTATTAGTAGTACAAGTGGGCACTGCAATGAAATGTTGCAGTGTGATGTTCTCCTGATCAGAATTGCAGCTACAGAATGAAGGGGCCTGTCAGTTTTGATTCCCTCGTTTTCTCCATTTTCCAGTCTCCTCATTTCTGCAGCAATATGTGTTTCTTTTCTTTAAAAAAAAATCTTCATGAAAATTCACCAGCTTTTTATTGTGAATTTCTCCTAATAAACCTATTTTTGTATGCAGTTGTGACTAATGTACACATTATGTTTTTACATCTGTGGGAGGTCACCCAGAGTGCCTGGGTCAACCCAGTCAGATGGGCAAGGTACAGATATGAGGGTGATGATTATTACAAGCAATTTTCCCCAATGTAAATAATTTTCACTAATACATTAACTTCCATGCAGACTTTCTCCCAAGATATGCATGTCTGTAAGCATTGTTTGGCTGGAGAACAGCTTCGCAAAATTCAGAGAAATGCAAATTTTGTAGGATGGCTGTGATTTGATTCCCATATTGCTTCTGGAAGAGTGAATTAGGTAGGTTTGCCTTTAAATGCAAACTGAATCAAAGTTATCCCCCATCTCTAATTGCAGCTGGCTAGTCCTACCCTCTCTCAGGGAAAGGCCTTGCTGTTCTCCCACACCTTTCAGTTAGAATCTATCGGGGGCTTCAGTCTTTGCACCCAACTTCCCCTTGCAGTGCTTCATGTGGATTTGGAAAGGTTTCAGCCACTATGTTTTCTGCTGATTTTATTTGTGTGCTTTTTTTGCAGAGCCTTTTGTTCTGTGATTTATTTTTGATTATTTTTATCGTATAGTTCCTCCTAGACTTTGTAAGTTGCAATGTGGTTGTGATGACCCTCTGCATAATGAGGGCTTTGGCTATTCCTTTTTGTCGTCATTTAGAAGATGCAGGGACGCGGGTGGTGCTGTGGGTTAAACCACAGAGCCTAGGACTTGCCGATCAGAAGGTCGGTGGTTCAAATCCCCATGATGGGGTGAGCTCCCGTTGCTTGGTTCCTGCTCCTGCCAACCTAGCAGTTCAAAAGCACCTCAAAGTGCAAGTAGATAAATAGGTACCACTCTGGCAGGAAGGTAAACGGCGTTTCCGTGCGCTGCTCTGGTTCGCCAGAAGCGGCTTTGTCATGCTGGCCACATGACCCAGAAGCTGTACGCTGGCTCCCTCAGCCAATAAAGCGAGATGAGCGCCACAACCCCAGAGTCAGTCACAACTGGACCTAATGGTCAGGGGTCCCTTTACCTTTACCTTAGAAGATGCTGAGTGCGACAACCACACCATGGGAAGCACAGAACTTTGGCCGGACAGATTAGATTATGAAGAGCTGCAAAATCTCCTTGATGAAGATGAAGACTGCAAGGAGAATGTGGCCGAACTTGAGAGGTAACTCATCAATAGCATACATGCCTGCCACTCTCAGCATTGTTTGGTGTGTTAATCATTGGCCATGATTGCAAAAGCATTTAACAGGGGTGTTTTTCCTTGAAAAGGCATTTAGCAGATTTAACTACACAAGCAGATAACACCACATGGCTACTCCCAGTCATAAAGTGAAAAGAAACTGTTAACGTCATTAGGCAGCAAACAATCAGAGTAATAAAAACGTCTACTTTACAGACTGGTCAGCCGCCACTCTGGGGTAGGGAGACCCTTTTAGAAAATAGCATGAAATGGAGGCAAACATCTCCACCCTCCACTTTATAGGGTGGCTGTGTGTCCTATTTCACAGTCCTCCATCAGAATGGCTGTCAGATGGCAGTCCTCTGTCTGACAAAGATGCAAGTTCCTTATTCGTTGTGTATATTGCTCCTGTGCTGGAGTCTCTTGGCAACTGTTATTCTGCCATATGATCTGGCACATTCGTGCACATGCTTCTTCTCCAAAGACTAGGGCAGGGATGGGCAACCTGGGGCCCTCCAGGCACCATCAGACTACAGCACTTGTCATCCTTAACTGTTGGTCATGCTGGTTGATGGGAGCTGGAACTGAACCACTGAAGGGCCCCACGTTCCTCATCCATGGTGCAATGAATTTGAAATGTGGGCAGCAAGGGGAAATGACTACAGCAGTGGCAGGACAAGGATGCTAGATAAACTGCTAAAATGCAGCCATTGGCAGTACATCCTAGAAGAATTCAGTAAAGGGTGGTTTGGCAGGTTTGGCTCAGAGGCTCCATCCAGATGAAACCTATTTGAGGGTCTTATCTGAAGTTGCATGCTCAGCCTTGGTCATTATTGGGCTTTGGTCTATATGGGATGTTTCTGTGCATGTGACTCATTTTGTTGTGGAATCCTGGCCTACTTCATTCATTCAGTTAATTCCCCACTTCTTTCAGTTTGGTCCAAATTAACTCAAAAGGGAACTCAACAAAAAGCTTCCCAGCTGAGCTTTGGAGAGTGGCGTTTAATTCTCCGTGGTATCCAGGGCCTAGCAAGCTACTTTTAGGTTCGTGTTCTTTACCTTCTGATGGCTTCCTCACATTTGGGTCTTGAACCACTTTCCTATCCCCACTTTAGAGAGGATTACAGGATTAATTTCAGCTCAATTAATCTCTTAAGAACCAAGTGCTTACACAAATACGTGCAGAGCAAGGAGGTGGAATAACTCAGAAGTGTGGCATTTTAATTTTTTTTTTGTTGTTTTTTTAAGTTACAACAATCCTTATTTGGGTTTTACACTATTTCAGGAAGACCAGAAGCATCAAAATGCCTGCTTTGGGGGGACTGCCTCTTCTGCAGCATAACAAAGCATTTCTTCATGTATTCCACAAATGTCGTCAGCTAAGTGACTCTGACATTCCTTTGAACTGATAACTATTCTGCCAGGCATATAACTCCCTGCTAATATCCCAGAATGCACTCTGTTTACTCTTGGAAGTGCCCTGGGACATCCAAACTTAGCTGTATATTTTGATAAGTGTGATCCACCTGCACGATCTCTCCCAGTAACAGAACAAGTTGGGAGAGGGGACAGATTGTCTTAGCAGTCTTTGTAGAAAGGGACAGTTGAGTAGGATAACACTGGTGTCTAAAAGAGGCATAACAACAGCAATTACTGTTATTTTTAAGCATCCTATGTGAAGACATGTTTACAAACGTACTGCCTACAATGACTGTGTGGGGGAGGAAATAAAATATACATTAATTGTTGCAATTAAGTTAATTTTAAACTCTGATCTTATGTGGGGGGGGGACCTTTAGATGACAGTGGCTTCTACCTGCATTGGAAGGAGAGTGGACTTGATTACCTTTCAAAGTTCCTTCCAACTCTTCGATGCTACTACGAAATGTGGAAGCCATCCCTCCTGCAAGTGAGAGCCCTCTGGAGCCTAAGCTCCAGTGGGGCTTTAGAGGTCTGCCCCAAAGTCTTGCCCTAACAGCAACACTGGGGACATCCAAAGCTCTTAGTGCTGCCACAGCAGCCAAATTGTCTTGCGCTAGAGTCCAGTTAACATGGCCACCCCATCTGATTGATTCAAAATGAGCCACATGTGCCAGCATTCAATCTCTTCCAGAATACATATTGGAAAGCTAGTGTGGTGTAGTGGTTAGATTGTGGCACGAGGACTGGAGAGATATAGAATCAGGTGCTTGCTTAGCCACAAAACTAATGAACAACCTCGAGCCAGGCTTAATCTCTCAGGTTACCATACTGTACAGCAGAGGTCGGCAATTTTTTTCAGCAGGGGGCTGGTCCACTGTCCCTCAGAACTTGTGGGGGGCGGACTATATTTTTTGGGGGATGAACAAATTCCTATGCACACTATGCACACCAGGCAGGCCCCACAAATAACCCACAGATGCATTTTAAAAGGACACATTCCATACAAGAGCACCAGGCAGCCCAGACAGTATTGTAGATGCTAAAAATCAAAATTAAAAAATTTTCTTACCTGTACTGATGATCGTCAGTGTTTGGATGGGCAGTCCTCACTTGGGTTTGGTGCTGCATTGTGGTCTGCTGGGCCTCCTGCTGCTAGCACCTCTTCCATGCTTCGGGGATGGGATGGGGGCCCTCCCGCCAGCAGCGGAGGCCAGATCACCACCGCACCAGCGGTGGAACAAGCTCCAGACTGTGGGAAGGTCTCCAGAGGCCTTCATGCAATCCAGAGCCCTCCCACCGGCAGCGGAGACCAGATCACTGCCATGCAGCCAGCAGGGAGGGCTCTGGACTGCCCACAGGAGCACCAGGGCGGCAGCGGCAGTGGTAGAGGGATGAGCGGCATGAAAGGGCTGGCTGGCTCCAGAGAGGCGCTGCTCAAAACAGCAACCAGCCAGCTCAGCCCAGCCTGCTTTCTCCTACGCAGGGTGGGAAGAAGCTGGGAGGAGGCGCCACGGTGTGTGAGAGGAAGGGGGGAAAGGTGTCGGGAGGGAAATGGTGATGCTGAAAAGAAATTAAAGAACAGAATCCCCACACCAATCAATGGACCATCAGTGGACCGGATCCTGAGGGCAATTTCCAGCCCACAGACCATAGTTTGCTAACCCTTGCTTTACAGAGTTGTAATGAGAATAAAATTGTGTGCGAGTGCACTGTGTATAAGAGTCTAAGATGGCCTGCTGGATCAGGCCAAGGGACCATCTATCTGATAGTCCATCATCCTGTTCTCACAGTGGCCTTATGGGACACTTATGGGAAGTCTGCAGGCAGGATCCAAGCACAATAGCACTCTCCCCACTGGGGTTCCCAGCAACTGCTATTCAGAAGCCTACTGCCAGGTACATGTCACCTTGGCCACCTTGTGAGAAAAGCAGAACACATGGCAATAGAATAAGTAACAATAAATATTTACCCATAAGGAAAATGTCACGCAGACACACATACCTGCAAAGGAGAGTGGACGAGAAAATGGGATATTTTGATTCCCCTGCTAAGAGCCCCATTGAAGACACCGAGAATGTTCTGTGGTTCAGGGGAAACCCCAGTGAAGATGGGGAAATTGGAACTGCTCTGCTTGGAGGGAAGAGCTTAATGGATGCCCTGCCCTCCTTTTAAGAGGAAAGATACACTGAAATATTTTGTTGCAGGTCCCACCTAGAATAGGGACGCGGGGTGGCGCTGTGGGTTAAACCACTGAGCCTAGGACTTGCCGATCAGAAGGTCGGCGGTTCGAATCCCCACGACAGGGTGAGCTCCCGTTGCTCGGTCCCAGCTCCTGCCAACCTAGCAGTTTGAAAGCACGTCAAAGTGCAAGTAGATAAATAGGTACTGCTCCGGCGGGAAGGTAAATGGCATTTCCGTGCGCTGCTCTGGTTCACCAGAAGCGGCTTAGTCATGCTGGCCACCAGTGGCGTAGCGTGGGGGGTGCCAGGGGTGCCGGCCGCACTGGGCGCAACATTTTGGGGGGCGCGTTTGGCCGGCCCCCCTCGAGGAAGCGGGAACCTCTCCAAGGCACAGCGTGCCGTCGGTAGAGGAAAAAAGCCGCGCAGCAGCAGCAGCAGCAAAGTCGGGAGGAGGAGGAGGTGGAGCGAGCCTGCTAATTCCTTGCTGGGAATTAAGCGGCTCAAGACTCTCTCCACTGGCCGCCTGGGTAGTGAGCCGAGCCGAGCAGGGAGTCTGGCGAGGGGGCGGGAAGAGACTTTTTCCCCTTTTTTCCACCTCGCCTGGTCAAAAAGGAGAGCGGAGTCTCCTCAGGGCGCCCTCAGGCAGGGCAGGGAAAGGCAAGCAGAGCGAGGAGGAGAGAGGGGGGAGGGGGGGAGCAGCCAGGAAACGCCGCGGTGTGGAGGAGGAATCAATTTAGGAGAGAAAGCGAAAAGCCTTGGAGAAAGGGAAAAAAGGAAAGAAAAGAGGCAGCTCCAGGAGAGCGCGGGGGAAAGAAAAGCCTCGCTGCTGCTGCTTGGGAGAGTAAATTACTGTACTTGCCTTGCCCCGGGTTAGGGGGCGCAAATTACTTGCCTTGCCCCGGGTTAGGGGGCGCAAATTACTTGCCTTGCCCCGGGTGCTGATAACCCACGCTACGCCGCTGCTGGCCACATGACCCGGAAGCTGTATGCCGGCTCCCTCGGCCTATAAAGCGAGATGAGCGCCGCAACCCCAGAGTCGGTCACGACTGGACCTCATGGTCAGGGGTCCCTTTACCTTTACCCACCTAGAATACTTCTAAATTCACATAGTAGCACACAGGTTCCTTCCTTCCTTCCTTCCTTCCTTCCTTCCTTCCTTCCTTCCTTCCTTCCTTCCTCTCTCTCTCTCCACACACACACACCACCTACCCCCACCAGTGTTTCCTCAAATGCATCCATGTTTTCCAAACAAGTTTGTGTGCCACTTAGGGCAGACTATTGTTTTAGAAAATATATACAAGTCTATATTTTATTATCTTCCCACATATGGGAGGAAACCCCATTTTTTGTAGGACTGCCCTGAAAGAGCATTTCCCAGAAAAGAAATGGTTGAGTAGTTTTTAGAGTTCTTCATGTTTCCATGAGGTCATTACATTCCTATCCTTCTTGCAAGGAAAGCTTTGCTATGGAGACATCAGGCTTTTCGTGGAAAAACAAAAACAAAAAACAGCAGGTGCTTGCAATATGCATTTTTATGATTGCAGCTGTTCTCCAGAGTAATGAACGCTTACCTTACTAAAGAAGTTAAACACAACCATTTCTTGCACTGCCTTTCTTGTATAATCTCAACCACATTTGCAAAGTTCCAGCAAACACGCCTTGGTGGGTGAGGGAAAAAAATTATGACCCTAGACTTCAGTTTTGCCTTCAGTAAATCAACAAAGCCTCACAAATCTGTGTGGGGATGTTCATAAATTATTGTGGAGTGAGCATCTCTCTTTTCAAAAGAGCGGCAGCTGGAAAAAGAACCATCAATTGTTCCTGAGGCTTTAAAAGAGAGAAAAGCTTAATTTTACAAGCAATTACCCTTCACTTGATGAAGCACATGTGTAATTTATACTTGGATTCTCATAGAAAGCGACCATCAGAAATGACATTTATTTAGCTATTTGTAACTACTTTTCTATGGCAGAGCAGTAGCAGAGCTTGATATTTTTCATTGGCATCAGATTTGTGACTCTGACATTCCTTTTATTTGACAGTGGTCATCATCTTACTCTTGCAGGCAGAATGGGGCATCCACACTCAGCTGTGTATTTTGATGCAATGAGGTGTGGAGTTGTCCACCTGATCTGGAGCTCTTGCAAAACAAACCCACTCCCCCCCAAAATCAGACTTCTGTGATATGAAAAGTGATTGGAAAAGGCACTGGAAAGTGTGGGATAACCCTTGCTTTGATGCATAATGTAATGTCCCTACAAACAAATCCGAACAAATGCTCATTAAATGGGCAGCAGCATCGAATCTCTGCAAACAAATCAGACTGAATGCTCATTAAGCAGACCATCCAGAAGTGACTTCAGACAGACTTGTGCAAAAGCAGCCCTCCTAAAAATAAAAAGGTGTGTGTGTGTGTGTTTAAAATGTGTTGCTTTAATTTTTGACAGAATGGAAGAAGATGTGCCTTGGGAAGAAAGAGACAGTGAATATTTTGCCCGATTTCTGAATGAATTCCCTACCCAGAGACAAGAGATTGAAAAGTGTATCAGATGCCTTTGGGAAATGGCCGATGACATTGACCAGACCCATAAGAAGTGTACTATTGCCAGCATTGCTGCCAACTCTACCAGTGCCTCCTCTGGCCTCTTGACCATCCTGGGACTCACCTTGGCCCCCATCACAGCAGGTGGGAGCTTGATCTTGACAGCCACTGGGATCGGTTTAGGGGCAGTGGCAACAGCGACTGGCCTTTCTGCCACCTTATATGAGAGCGTGAATAATTCACAGGAACGGAAAAAAGCTCAAGAACTGGTGAGTGAATGTGAGAAAAGTCTAAGAAAGGCAATGCATCCCGATTTCTACTTTGGGTCGCCCCCAAATAGCGGGGCTGTGGGGGAAAACATGAAACAACTCGTCTCCAATGTTGCCGGTCAAGTTCCTGACCTGTATAAGGCTGTGAAGGGAATCAGAATGAATGTAAAGGCACTGAAGCAAGTCCGAGCCAATCCTGGCTTGAAGGATTTAGCAAAGCGAGTCACTGCTGCAGGTAGCAGATCCCGGGCTACAATCCGAGGGGCCAAGCATGCCAGAAGGGTCTTTGCAGGAACCACCCTTGCCATGAGCAAAGGGGCCAGGCTGCTGAGTGCTGCATCAACTGGGGTGTTTCTCCTCTTCGATGCCTATGGCATTGTTCAGGATGCTAAACATTTGACTGAGGGAGCCAAGGCAGAAACGGCTGCAGAGATAAGAAAGAAAGCTAGCAAACTGGAAGAAGAACTTCGTCATATTGACAGGCTCTATGAGGAAATGAAAGGCCTTGTGTGCGAATCAGAGTGAGCAAAGAAACAGACGGCATGCGCGTGAACTAGGCAATTCTCTATTAGTTTGTATTTGGTCATGGTAAATATGTGGAATCGTTTCTGACTTGCAGCTATCTACTTCACATTTCTTCAAGAAACTCTGGCCCAATACAGATGCCCATTTTGCCATGTGTCAACATTTTCTACCATAGATCTGCATGGTTGCCTGAATTAATGAAAGCATGTTTTGTGTGCGATTGTGTGTTTGCCCTGCTGTCGATTCTAGTTTGGGGGCCTTATGAGGCGGTAAGTCTTGCCCACATTAACCACTCGGTAAGCTGGCCGTCTATATTAGTAACTCATGGCTGGTAACATTGACAGCCTCTCCAAGTGCTCTTTTTATTGTGCATTCATGATGATTTGTGCTCATGATGGTATTGGGAGAGTTATACATGATCCCACTGTTTGTGCCTGCAAAAATTGGGGGCGAACATACTGCTTCATTTCCAATTGGTGCATGTCCCATACTGCTGCAATCCTGCAACTTATCATACCACAAATATTCCAGGGTTTGTTCTGCTTTTGCTACATTGTGACACAAGATTCCACACCACCCCCTGATGGCAATATTGCAGTAACACTGGGGAGGCATCACAACTAATAAAATGGAATGATGGATGGATGGACCCACCAATACATACACATACCAACCAATAATGCATTATTATTGCATCAATGGCATGTTGCAGAATATACCCTTAAAAATAAGAAGTGTGAAGTGGCATTGAGTATGGAAGGTGTTCCTACTGAACAAGTTTCCCATGGGTGGGGCTGTCTTTCAAGGAACAGCTTGCCTTTCCAGCTTTAAACTTCAGATTTATTTTCCAAGTGTTGTTTACATATTTTGAAAGAGTTTTGAAAGAGTTTGAGAGTTATTATTTAATCATCATGTATGTTTGGGTGTGATTTGATAGGAGCATCTTTTTCATAAATAAATGAAACCCATTCGTTATTGGAGAATAAGAAAACTGGCTGTTTATTGATGCAATGCACCGTTTCTTTCCCCATGTTCCATTTAAGACTGGAATCTGGTTTGTAATCTGCATCTCAGATTAACCTCAGGACCTCTCTGGATAAATTGATATGAAAGCAGTCGAGTTCCCAGTAAACACACTAGCACAGACTTCAAGACTAAGGAAATGGCGTATCTTCAGTTATATCCAGACCTGGCTACTGCAACATGTTCATTAAGGAGGCTATTTTATAACTTCCCTGCGCTGTCATTTTGGCAGGAGGCAATTCAAGAGAAAGCACTTACACCCCAGTTATTAAACTTGGCCTGGGGCCATCTTTGTTGTCTGCCCCAGGCAAAAGTTTGCCCCATTTACCCAAGTTGTGAGGGGTTAGAAGTTAGTTCTGCTAGTTAAGTATTGTGTTTGCTTTTCTACTCTAGGTGTTTCCATTGTTTGATTTGATTTCTGCAGTTTTTATTGCTACTGGGTTAGGGCTTCCCTGGCTTTTTATAGCTGTAATTGTTTTACTGCTGTAACATCATCCTGTAACACTGCTTTTATGGATTGTGGTTGCTGCTGCCTAGAAAGGCAGGGTATAAAATCTTTTCCGTTAGTTAACAAATTGGCCTACATGGCACCCAGTGGAAACAGCTGGATGAACTATCTTCTAAGTCACTCAGACAAATTACATCAAGCCAGCCAAGGGAGTCTTACGGTGAGCTTCTGCCTCCTTAAAGAGGCACAGGTTATATCATGCGACTTCTGGAAATGGTCTAGGGCAGATGTGGAGAAACTCAAGCCCAGCAATGCTGCCCACCAGGCCTCTCTTATCTGACCCATGTGACTCTCCCCAGCCCATACACCTACACACCAGGCTTACTTCATGTGCTTCTTTAAGTGTTTTTACCTGGTTGCAATGTGTCCTTGGAATTCTGACAATGCCTCTTGGTTGCCTGGGTGGCAGATAGAGAGGGGCATGTGTAGAAACTAGCCTAGTGCAGGAAACTACTTGACTCTGGCGCCACCTGCTGTTAGTCTCCCAGTCTTCTGCCCTACCAGTCCCAATGGGCACGTCTGGAAGTTGCAAGGGGTGAAAAACGCAGCAGGAGGAGAGGTCCCTGGTGTCTGGGTTTTGGAGCTCCTTATTTGGAGCTCCTTTCCAGGTGCAAAGCAAATCGCTGGTTTAATAACCAACTAAGTCTGAATGACTTAGGACCGGGATATTAGATGAACCACCTCCTTCCGTGTAAGCCTGCCTTCTCACTGCATTCACCATCTGGCTTGCCTCAGAGACAAATTTGGCTGGGATGCAGAGTAAGTTTTTCTCTCTTTTTTTCTAATTCACAAGGCAGAACTTCCTTCCTGCCTTGTGAAGTTTGGTTGGTCCTTTCTTTTATAGTATTTAGGCAGGCTGTAAATACTGTTTTTCCAGGCGTTTGATCTGCCCTTCCTTCTGATGCTTTAACTGTGTTGGCAACCCTCAGTATAATGGGCGATTTCCCAACATCTGGAAAAAATAAGAATAGTAAGAGAAACAAGAATTCAGAGGGCTGGACAGGAACTGCTCAAGTTCCACCAAGCATGAGAGTTATCTATGTGGCCAAGTAATCGGAGAGTTTCAATATCACTACCCACTCCAGGTCACTTATTAGTGTCCATTACTCCTACAGGTAAGTTATAACAAAATGGAGATATCTGTTAAAGCCCTTTCCAGGTCCCTCCCTCCTGAAACGTTTTAGAGCATTTTTAAGTGATTGGTTTTATTGACAGTTTATTTGGATCCCACATTCTAGCTCTGCACAGGGTAGTTGGCCTGCTCTCCCCCCCCCCCCATTGTTCAGCCTAAGGTCCAGCTCCAAGGGCCTTTTGGCAGTTCCCTCACTGCAAGAAGTGAAGTTACAGGGAGCCTGGCAGAGGGCCTTCTTGATAGTGGTGCCCACCCTGTTGAACGCCCTCCCATCAGATGTCAAGGAAATAAACAACTATCTGACTTTTAGAAGACATCTGAAAAGGCAGTCCTGTTTAGGGAAGTTTTTAATGTTTGATGTTTTATTGTATTTTAAATATTTTGTTGGAAGCCGCCCAGAGTGGCTTGGGAAACCCAGCCAAATGTGTGGGGTATAAACAATACATTATTGTTGTTGTTGGGGAAAAGGTCAGGAATAGCTGATCTGAGCATTTTTCCATGGAAAATCCAGCAAGCAAGCAAGCAATTACAATCATTTTGCCACTATCCGTCTGAAAAAGACTGAACAGTAAGTTTGCAACATTAAACTGCGTTCTTGAATCAGGTAGGTAGCAGTGTTGGTCTGACGCAGTCAAAAGATTTTTAGAAAAAATTGTCCAGTAGCACCTTAGAGACCAACTAAGTTTGTTCTTGGTATAAGCCAGGGGTCTGCAACCCGCGGCTCCGGAGCCGCATGTGGCTCTTTTACACCTTTGCCGCGGCTCCGGGGTGGATACTAGCGAGGGGAGGAGGCGCATTGTGCGCCCCGACACTCCCCACTGTGGTGGGCACTGTACTGGCTGTGATGTCACATGGGGCGGTGCGTGCGTTAGTCACACACCGTCCCAACATCACCTTCCCGCCCGCTGTCAGATCGCGGCTCCGGAGATATATTTGTTTTAAATGTCGCAATGGTTTTGCGGCTCCCAGTTTTTTTTTCTTCGGAAACGGGTCCAAGTGGCTCTTTTTGTCTTAAAGGTTGCAGACCCCTGGTATAAGCTTTCGTGCATGCACAGGAAAGCTTACACCAAGAACAAACTTAGTTGGTTTCTAAGGTGCTACGGGACAATTGTTGGAAGTGCTGTCAGGAAATGCGCGGGAGGCGGGGAATGGCGGGTTTTCCTGTTGGAATAAATTGGGATTTCAGTCTCTGCAAGTTCGCCACGAGGAGCCGCAGCGACTTCCCCGCGAGAGGGCCGCGCCTGTGGAATCCGTGGGTCTTCCTGGATGCCCATTTGTGCCCCAGGACGGCTTTTCCCCGCGCCTCCGACTGCGCACGAGCAGGCAGCCTCTCTTCTTCGCATCCCCCCTCATCCCCGGGCTCTTCCTTCATAAACTCGTCCACCAGCCTCCTTCCCTTCTCAACTTAGTTTCCTGCCCGCCCCGCGCTCTGGCCGAGACCCTCTCGTCTTTCAAAACAAATACAAGCGCACCGTCGACGGAGCTTCTGTTGCTGGACTTAACCGCCCTCTCCTCCCTGCGTCCAAACGGCAAACATCTCCTGCCATTGGGTTCCTCTCGCGTGTTCACGTGTCCCGACAAGCCCGAAGTCCGCCCGCGTTTCAGTTTCGGTTTCCCCTCTGCTCTGCCTCAGACATCTTTGAGCCTCCGTGTCGTAGAAAACAGGCAGTCGGAAGTCAGAAAGGTGAGTCTAATAGCATATTTAATAGGTTTTGGAGGAGAATTGCATGGCAATCCGAGAGTTGGGAGATGAGGGGAACCTGCCACGAAACGCTGCCGGACAGAGCCCATGGTTTGTTCTTTTTCATTGCGCCAGCCATTGAAGGAATGGCTTCCTTCCATACAGATGCCTCCGCCTTGAAAACCCCATTTCCACACAGGTACACACAGCTTTGTTGTTTCCCCTCCAACAATCAAATCGAGATTCTGTGCAAACTTTGTGACTCCCCCAAACCTGCTGGTCCCTTACTTTTGTGTGCTGGTGGTGCAATTTGGCTTCATGAGAATCCACACCCTGCACCCCGAATTTAGCAGATGAGGATGATTGGATTACAGTGGTACCTCGGGTTACATACGCTTCAGGTTACAGACTCCACTAACCCAGAAATAGTGCTTCAGGTTAAGAACTTTGCTTCAGGATGAGAACAGAAATCGCGCAGCGGCAGCAGGAGGCCCCATTAGCTAAAGTGGTGCTTCAGGTTAAGAACAGTTTCAGGTTAAGAACGGACCTCCGGAACGAATTAAGTACTTAACCTGAGGTACCACTGTACAGTCAAAAAGAGCAGCCCTTTGGGTGTGTTTGCTTTCATCTTTCCTTTCCTTTCCTATCAGCAGCTACCAAGGATGGGAGGGGTGGTGTATGTATGAGAGAGGCAGAAAGAGAAAGAGAAAGAGAGAGAGAGAGAGAGAGAGAAGGTTACTAGAGAGAATTTGAGACAGCTTTCATTTTCCAGCAGCAAAACTGAGAAAAGGTTGGTGAGTTGATCCACCTACAGCTTCCTTATTGGCAGGTGTGGCACCTGTGAGCTACTGGGGTTGTTTTATTAGGAACACCTGGGCTGCAGCCTGTGGGTTCTTGGTGAATGTGAGAGAAGATCTGTTGCCCTCCAGGTGTCATTGGCCTACAATTCCCACCAGCCCTATCCAGCACGGCCAACAGTCATGGATGATGGGAGTTGTAGTCCAGCAACATCTATGCCATAGGCAAGTGGAACAGGCTGGTGGGAGAGTTTGGGTTGGCAATCAAGTTCATGGCTACACATGTAATATCAAACTTCACCTTCTTAATAAATGCAGTAACTTATTTCCACATTATTTGAACAGGTTGGGGAATGCATTCTGTTTATGTGTACTGAGTTATCAATCAAAGCTGGAGCTTTTCTCCCTAACTTTAATTTTTTAGGCCAAAACAATGCTCTTTGAATTTTGTAATTCTGAATATGATAGTATTTTGCATGAGATGCTGAGTTAACAACAGAAGAGGAGAAATATATGGCACTGAGGATGTGTATATGGCTGAGTAGGCTCAGAAACGGCATACATGGGGGGAAAACAAGGAGTTCCACATTTCTTTGGTGGGAACAAAGTGTGGCTCCCTCGTTTAACTTCCTCAGTGCCTATTTTACCTCTATTTTCCTCTGTCAGATGCTGAAGCTTCTGTGTTCTGTGTTCCAGCAGCCCGAGGCTGGGAACATAGTTGTGCCTGCATAGCCGCCACGGAAGCCCACCCTGTTACTCATGCCATGAAACAGTCTGGCCCTGGTCCCTCATGCTCCATTAAAGACAATATATCCTGCAGCATTTTCCTGCTTGTACCACACCCAGCCCTAGCCCAGATTATTCCATCCTTCTTCAGGGCTTTAGCTGTTTATTCCACTAGGGATACAGTGGTGCCTCGCAAGACGAAATTAATTTGTTCCGCAAGTCTCTTCGTCTTGCGAGTTTTTCGTCTTGCGATGCACGGTTTCCCATAGGAATGCATTGAAAATCAATTAATGCGTTCCTAGGGAAACCGCCTTCAGACCAGGCTGAAGGCTGGGGGGGGACAAGGGCTTTTCTTCCCACCCCCAGCATTTTAAAAAACCCCGGGACAGCGGAGGACTTCTCCGCTGTCCGGGGCGATCTTAAAATGCTGGCGGGCGGCATTTTAAAATCGCCCCGGGACAGCGGAGGACTTCTCCGCTGTCCGGGGCGATTTAAAAGCCCCTGGGAAGGCAGGCAGGGGGGACAAAGACTTTTGCCCCCCGCCCGCCTTCAGAAGAGGTCCTGGACCTCTTCTGAAGGCGGGCGGGGGGCGAAAGTCTTTGCTCCCCCCCCCGCCTGCCTTCAAAAGCCCTCCGGGACAGGCAGGCAGGGGGGAGCAAAGACTTTCGCCCCCCGCCCGCCTTCAGAAGAGGTCCAGGACCTCTTCTGAAGGCGGGCGGGGGGCGAAAGTCTTTGCTCCCCCCCCCCGCCTGCCTTCAAAAGCCGTCCGGGACAGCGTGTTTCTCCGCTCTCCCGGGAAGGCAGGCAGGGGGGAGCAAAGACTTTCGCCCCCCGCCTGCCTTCAGAAGAGGTCCAGGACCTCTTCTGAAGGCGGGCGGGGGGCGAAAGTCTATGCTCCCCCCTGCCTGCCTTCAAAAGCCGTCCGGGACAGCGGAGAAACACAGCGTGTTTCTCCGCTCTCCCGGGAAGGCAGGCAGGGGGGAACAAAGACTTTCGCCCCCCGCCCGCCTTCAGAAGGTGTTCCCTCCCCGCCGCCTGGCTTCGGAGCATCGTTCCGAAGCCGGGCGGCGGGGGGAGGCGTTCCCGCCCCACCACCCAGCTTCGGAGCATCGTTCCGAAGCCGGGCGGCGGGGGCAGGTGTTCCCGCCCCACCACCCGGCTTCGGAGGAGCCTTCCGAAGCCCGGCGGCGGCGGGAGGAGGTGTTCCCGCCCCGCCGCCAGGCTTCGGAGGAGGTCCGAGGACAGTGGGGAAGACGCGCTGCGTTTCCCCGCTGTCCCGGATATTTCCCTATGGGCTGTCGTCTTGCGAAGCAAGCCCATAGGGAAATTCGTCTTGCGAAGCGCCTCCAAAACGGAAAACCCTTTCGTCTAGCGGGTTTTCCGTCTTGCGAGGCGTTCGTCTTGCGAGGTACCACTGTAATTCAGTTCCAACTCCTCTTTTCTTCCATACAGATGCCTACAGCATAGATGTGGCACCTGATGCTCTCCAGATGTTGCTGGATTACAATTCCCATTTTGTAGGAAACAAAACAGAACAACAAAAAAGAAACTGTGTACATTACAAAAAAGGGGGCGGACGTGTTATTTTAGTTATTTTTCAATAAAGAATATAAAATAAAAACAATGTCAGTGTAAATGAGTAGTGAAAGTCCCCTTGCCGACTCAAAACCAGTGCTGGGCCTGGGAGCATGTGGCAGAGTGGCTACAAAATGCCACATGGCTGAAATGGGCAGTAAAGATGCTACAAGTAGGACAAAAATAACAGAAGGTCTTGTGGCACTTTGAAAAACATATTAGGACATTAAGTTTTGTGGTCTATAATAAACTGTGCTAGTCTTTATGGTGCTAGGACTCTGTTGCTACAACAAACTAACCCATGTACTCTGCCGGAAACGTACAGGTGGGGCCTGCATCAAAATGCTACAGTATGAAGTATGAGCTCCTGTACGATTAGGCCAGCCATGCCCTCCCCCAAAGTACTCCATTCTGTTCCCCCTCCATGCTGATTTTACATTTTTTTCCCCATTTAAATGACAGTAATTTTTCTGTGCCGACTGGACATGATCATTAGTCATAGGGCTGTTTATGGAATTTCTTGCTTAGTTCCCCCCCTTTTTTTTGTGTGTGTGTGTGTTGTGTTCATATTTCTAAAAACTTCACCACCATTTTGTTGATAAGTTCCTCCTGGGCATGAGTGCTGCTGTTTTCACGACATTAGCATGGACACCCTCCCCTGAGTATGAGAAATGGAATATAAGAAAAGTCAGCACTGATATAAACCGTCCTGGCCTCTGCCTTCATCATTTGAGGCTCCTCTTTGTGTGCCTTCTCCATGTGACGTCTGGAAGATGGCGACACAAGAACGGGCCTTCTCTGTAGTGCAGGCATAGGCAGACTCGGCCCTCCAGATGTTTTGGGACTAAAAACCCCATCATCCCTAGCTAACAGGACCAGTGGTCAGGGATGATGGGAATGGTAGTCCCAAAACATCTGGAGGGCCGAGTTTGCCTACGCCTGCTGTAGTGGCTCTCTTTGTGGAATGCTCTCCCCCAGCGACGTTCACCTGGCACCTTCATTATATATTTTTAGGTACCAGGCAAAAGAGTTCCTCTTCAACTAGGCCTTTGGCTGATTAATATTCTACAGCCTTTTAAATGTGTCTCTGGGAAGGGGGGGGGTATTGTTTTGCTGTTTTGTTTTACTTATTTCCTTGTTTTTATCCTGTATTTTATTCTGTGCACTGTCCTGCAATCTTATGATGTATGGCGGTATACAAATCCTCATCCTCATACCTGCCCCATACATGACATCACATATGATGTCAGGTGTCCAGCAGGTGGGCGTGGTTTGGGGGCTTTACAGGTCAAACTAGGACTCACACTGGGCCAACTTTGGCCTGCAGAGCAGAGGTTCTGCACACCTGCTATAGATGTTTTGAATTACCCAAACAATGGCAACTGGTGCTAATGGGACTTGTTGTTCAAAACTTGTGCAGGCACTAGTTTGGAGGCTTTCTGGGGTATAGCTTTCTAGGTCCATTTCCCCCCTAAAGCCTGACATTCGGTTTGGCATGATGGATCAAGTAAGAAATGAACAAATTGTAACTGAGCTGCACAATTATTATGACACTTGTTTCGAGACATTTAGATCCCTGTCCTAAGATGTTGGCCTTTGACGCTACTCCCCATGAATTCACTCAGTATCTTCTGCCAATTCTTAATTAATTTCCTGGGGATTATCGCTGGTTTAGACTGAAAGTAAAACAGGAGCTTTGGCAACACAACCGTTTTAAGTGTGTGGATTTGCATGAGCCACAATAGCTTTAATTTCCCCCCACTCTTTAAACTCTGCCTTAATAGATCTAATTAGCTTAATGCAATTGTTTTCTAAGAGATCGGCCCTGTTTGAAATAATGAGGATTCCTCCTAGGTACTTTCATACTGTGTTTAAACATTTGCACTGGCATACTTGATAGAAAAATTAATCCTGAATCCTAAAAGAAAAATTGATTGGCTTAATTCTAGATTTTGTGCAAGTTACCTTTGAACCCAAATGTTATGTCATACAGTGGTACCTCCGGTTGTGAACTCAATCCGTTCCGGAGGTCCGTTCATAACTGGAAACTGCTCGTAACATGAGGCGCGCTTTCGCTAATGGCGCCTCCCGCTGCTGCTGTGCCGCCGGAGCATGATTTCCACTCGCATCCTGGGGCAAACTTCACAACAAGGGGCGTCTACTTCCAGGTTAGCGGAGCACGTAACTCGAAGGATTCGTAAGGGGGACGGTACATAACCCAAGGTACCACTGTACTGAAAAAATGAAAGAGATTCCAGCATCCTTTATTCTAGGATTCCCTCTTAACATCTTTTGCAAATGGCTTGGCAGATAAAGCAAAGAGCATTAGGGACATAGGATAGCCCTGTCATTCCCTCTTTTGCATGGGAAATATCACTGGGCTGAAATACTAGCTAGTTAAATGGGTTACATAACCTTCTCCAACCCAGAGAGAATTTTGGACCTACTGAGACTGAAGGGAGATATAGTTCAAAACAGGTATAGAGCCCCCCCACAAGCTGGGGGAGTCTGGGTTACATGATTATGTTTCCAGTCAGTCTGTAGGCTCAATTACCCAATTTTAAAAGTTTTGACCTTTAAAACATATCTCATTGTGGGGCCAAGATACTTGAAGGACTGCCTGTCTCCCATGTGGTGTAGTGTGTGGGGAACAGAGGACCTTCTAGAGTATTGGCACCTCAGTTATGGTATGTTCACATTCTCCACCTAGCACAGCTTCCATTGTCATTTTGGTACCGGGAAAAACATTTGCTTTCCTTTTTTTTTCCAGACATAGGTTTAAACCTGCTAGTCCCTCTCCTCTCCTTTTATATTTTTAAAAATATCATTCTGCTTCCCACTCTCCCTTGTTTTTATGATTATTTAAATCTTGGAGGAAGCCATAGTTCGTGATCCCCAACGGCTTGGATGCATGGCTTGCATGCACAAGGAACTGCATGTTTCCTATTGTGGGCCCAATTTTGTGGAACTTCCTTCCCATTGAGGTCAGACAAGCTCCCTCCCTACTGAACTTCCAATGACTTAAAAAAATAAAAGGCATTTTAATTGAACTCTGAATTTCTGGTTTTAACTGTTTTATGTGTAGTGTGTTTGCATACCACCTAGAGAACATTTGTAGGTAAGTAGTATATAAATTGTTTAAATAAAAATAAATAAATTTGCATTTTAATTGTATTTGCATTCCCCCCACCCCTGAAAATGTACCACGGCAACTCTTACTGAAGTGTAGTGCAAAAATATTTATAATAAATTGAAATTTTGGTCAAAAGTATTTTCTAGCTCAGTCCTAAGAGCTTACAGACATGGCTAGAGTATGAAGTTCAGATGTTTGTAAGAATTATAATGATATTACTGAAGTTAGTTTCATTGGGAGATTTCTTATCTTGGTTCCCCTTCATCCTTACTATCTAGTTGTTTTCCTTTCCAGACTAAAGTACACTCAAGCTGAGAAGAGCGGATTTACCATTTAGTATCTGTGTGGCACCTGCCCAAATTGCTGCTGGAGAATGTCAGAATTCCAAAGGTAGTTCTCAAGCTGCTGGTATTCTAATTGTTACCTTTGTTCATTGCATATAAAAGGAGCCCAAAGCATCTCCCAGAATCCTCAGTGATACATTGGGCAATAGATATTGGTCATAATATACAGTCGTACCTTGCTTTTCAAACAGCCTAGTTCTGGAACGCTTTGGCTCCCAAATGCCGCAAACCCAGAAGTGATTGTTATGGTTTGTGAACTATTTTTGGAAGCCGAACATCCGACGGGGCATCTGATTGGCTGCAGGAGCTTCCTGCAGCCAATCAGAAGCTGCGATTTGGTTTCTGAATGTTTTGGAAGCCGAACGGATTCCATTCGACTTCCAAGGTACGACTGTAGATATGGAAGCATGGGAACGATGGTGGAATATGGATATAAAATTTATAGCATTCTATGGTCTAAGAGAAAATTATATGAAAATGATATATCGATGGTATCTAACACTGAGTAAGTTGGCAAAAATGTATAAATCTAAATCAAGTAAGTGTTGGAAATGTAATGAGAAAGAAGGTTCTTTTTATCGTATGTGGTGGTCTTGGAGTAAGGTCAAAGCTTACTGGGAAATGATATACAGTGGTGCCTCGCAAGACGAAATTAATCCGTTCCGCGAGTCTCTTCGTCTTGTGGTTTTTTCGTCTTGCGAAGCACGGCTATTAACGGCTTAGCGGCTTTAAGAAAAAGGAAACAAACTCGCAAGAACTCGCAAGCCCATAGGGAAATTCGTCTTGCGGAACGACTCAAAAAACGGAAAACCCTTTCGTCTAGCGAGTTTTTGTCTTGCGAGGCATTCGTCTTGCGGGGCACCACTGTATACTGAAATGAAAAGAATGCTTGAAGTAACTTTTGTAAAAAAAAATCCAGAAGCTTTTCTTTTGGGAATTATAGGGGCAGAACTACCTAAAATGTATAGAAATTTATTCATGTATGGTATTACAGCGGCAAGAATATTACTTGCCCCAAAATGGAAAGAAGCAGAAGTCCCAATAAAGGAAGAATGGATACAAAAAAATATGGAATATTTGCAAAAATGGCAAAACTTACCAGAAGAATAAGAAATCAAGATAACATTTTTTAAAAAATAAAAGAATGTAAATGTAAATTGTAATTGAATGTAAATTGAATATTTACAGATAAATTATAAACAGATAAAAACATTGACAGGATTATTGTAACAACCTGCAGTGTTATGAGTCTGTATTTAAAGAAGATGAATAAATGAGCAAATTAAGTTAATGTGGATATGCAGAAGAATAAATTTAAGGAACTGCAGAAAGAGGGGGATGGAAGTCAAGTTTTGAAATGTCAAAATGAATGTAAAATTAGTGAAATGTATAAACTTCAAAAGTGGGACGCGGGTGGCGCTGTGGGTAAAACCTCAGTGCCTAGGACTTGCCGATCGCATGGTCGGCGGTTTGAATCCCCACGGTGGGGTGAGCTCCCGTCGTTCGGTCTCAGCGCCTGCCAACCTAGCAGTTCGAAAGCACCCCCGGGTGCAAGTAGATAAATAGGGACCGCTTACCAGCGGGAAGGTAAACGGCGTTCCGTGTGCTGCGCTGGCTCGCCAGATGCAGCTTGTCACGCTGGCCACGTGACCCGGAAGTGTCTCCGGACAGCGCTGGCCCCCGGCCTCTTGAGTGAGATGGGCGCACAACCCCAGAGTCTGTCAAGACTGGCCCGTACGGGCAGGGGTACCTTTACTTTTACTATAAACTTGAAAAGTGTGTGTGTGTGTGTGTGAGAGAGAGAGAGAGAGAGAGAGATAAACTAGAAAAAAAGAAGTAGTGGGAGGCTTCACACTTTCCAGATGAATAAATGGAGAAAGATTATTATCTGATCCTGTTTTGAGTCCTACAGACAGGAATATTGTACAGAGGAAAAAGAGGGCAGCCCCTTTCCCCATCTTCCAAGGGGTGTTAGCAGCCCCCGCCACTTTTTAGAATTGCAGCCATAGACGATTTTCCATAAGAGATGTTCAATTAAAATACTGAATTCTACGTGTTTCTGTAATTACAGTGGTACCTCGGGTTAAGAACTTAATTTGTTCTGGAGGTCTGTTCTTAACCTGAAAGTGTTCTTAACCTGAAGCACCACTTTAGCTCATGGGGCCTCCTGCTGCCGCAGCACGATTTCTGTTCTCATCCTAAAGCAAAGTTCTTAACCCGAGGTAATATTTCTGGGTTAGCGGAGTCCGTAACCTGAAGTGTATGTAACCTGAAGCGTATGTAACCCGAGATACCACTGTATATGCATCATACACATTTGTTTTTTGTCTGCTTTCTCAGGAAGCACAGATTTGTAGGGGATGCAGGAAATTGGGGGGGGAGGGGACCTATCTTTTAGCCCCATTTTTAATATGTATTTATATTTGCAGAAATGCAGGAAACATGCCTTCAGAGAAAGCTCTTGATGAAGCTATTGCTCATTTTCTCAAAGAATTCCCTGACAAGAAAAAGAGATTGAGGTGTGCATCCAATCCCTTCGGGAAAGGGCAGACGACATTGACAAGACCCATAAGGATTGCACCATTGCCAGCGTTACTGCCAGCTCTGCAAGTGCAGTTTCTGGTATCCTGACCATCGTGGGACTGGCCTTGACCCCTGTAACAGCAGGCGCAAGTTTAATCCTGACAGCCACAGGCATGGGCTTAGGGATAGCGTCAGGAGTAACTGGCATTTCTGCTGGTGTGTCCGAGAGCATTATTCATTCAATGGAGAAGAAAAAATCGGCAAGAACTGATAAACGAATGTGAGAAGAGCCTAAGAATGGCGCTGAGCCTCGAGAAAATTGGTTTCAAGTCTCAACTGCCCCCAGATAACGCTAATCTGGAAGTAGCCAAAACGGCAATCACTTCGGGTTGTGCTGTTGCTAGGCTCATTCCAACAGTGGTTGACCAAAGCAACAGACATTGCAGCAAATGTAGAGGCATTGAGCAGTGAGCTAGACAACTAATACTGCCTTGAAGGGATTTAGGCCAAGGAAGACGCAAAGTACAGGTAAGGAGAACAACGTAGCCAGGAGATGCAATCAAGGGGATTGGACAGGGTCGATGAAGAGCAATTTAAAGGAAAACCGATCTCTGACCTTCTGCATCCAAACTATGAACTTACCATTGAGCTACAGTTCCTTCCACAGCAGTCAGAGCCTATTCTGTTATAGCCCCTGAATTCTTTGGGCAAGGGAATAGGAAGCTGCCTTTTACTGGGTCAGGCCATTAGTTCACCCAGCTTAGTATCATTGACATTGATTGCCAGAGGCTCTTCAGGGTTTCAGGTAAGACCTTCCTATCTGAAGATGCTGGAGACTGAAATGTTGTTCTACTGCTAAGCTGCTATGGCCCTTCCATAAATTTTGGTCCTATGCCTGAAAACATTCCAAAGACACACAGCCTTTCCTGCGTGTAGCAAACTAGTGCATCAGCATACATCATCCTTTCTGTGGTGTGCTCATTTACCACATGTGGGGAGTCCTTATGGCATGGTACGTTTCATTTATATACAACTTTTTAGCCCAAAGGTCCCCAAAGCAGTGAACAAGATTAACACATATGAACTCAAAGAAACATACAATAAAAGTACAAGATATACATCAATCAAAGCAACATAAAATAGCATCAGAATTCAACCAAAAATACAGAAATATCATAGAATGTGACCATGAGCTCCTGAGATGATTCTACATGGGGCCATTTATCTTTCAAAAGGAAGTATCCTTCTTGGTCAGAGCTTCCCAAAAAGCTTTAAAAGGACTGCAGCATTCTTCCTGTTGTTTTAAATGTAAACAAATGTAAACTATTTTTTATTAAGTTATTGGACATTTTTGCATGTCAACGCTATTTCATGACTGAAAACTGAAAACAGTATATATGTGTAAAAGACCTATGCAGCAGATCTAAAATATCTGTTTATGGCTTTATTTTAAGCGTGGAGAAGACCAGGCAATATTCCCCAAAGAAGTTATAAAGGATCATTTAATTACACACACACACACACACACCAACCATTCCTACCCGTGTAGTGGTTGAGTACCTTCAATTTGGAAAGCAGCTTTCAGTAGTAAAGAAAACACACAAAACACTTACCTGCTCTCAAATGAGACATCTCCTCGGATTACATGAGTGCTTTCCTTGCCAATAAGAAACTTGATTCTATCATAAAAGAGCCTTGGAGGATGCTGAGAGAAAGGAGGCTGGCTCTGCTGAATGAGGTCAAGGGGATCAGGGGACCCTTGACAGAGCGGGCTTGAATAGCAATTGCTTTGCTGGCAGCAGTCAGGGTCTATACAGTCTGTCAAACCATCTGAAATGGATAATACAGGAAAAAATGTTGCAATACAGCAGCCAAAGGATCAACGGCTGGGAAGAATGCATTATATATTTATTTACCTGCATTTACGATCTCTTCCTAGGAAACATCTCAAAGAGACTTAACAATAGAAACACCATGGATATTATATGTGTGTGTGTGTGTGCGCGCGCATGCGCGCGTGCGGGCGACAATTTCAGCATTCCTTGCTTACCATCCATACATCTATGCCCTACTTTTTCTCCACACAATGAAGTACCTGTGCAAGAAGGGGAAGGGTGAATCTCCAATGGGGGGTGATAAAAGGCTAGGTGGCCCATAGTTGGAGATAACAGCCCCTGGACTGGTGGTAAGTAAAGAGCTAGGCAGGTGGGGGCCAGCTGAGGGAGAGTTTAGAATGAAGTTGGTGGTGCAATAGCCAACAGAAGAATGGAGAATGAGCACTCACACTTTACATTGTGGGTGCCCTTTGAAGGATCGCGCGTGGTGCTACGGTTCCCAGGGAGCTTACTGGCAAATAGGGGCTGGCTTGCCTCTCAGTGTTAATTTTTGGAGGTTCACACCCAGCCTCAGTAATCAAGTTTTTTGCTGGGAGGTGGGCCCAGCCACATTTATAAATAGGGGTGGAGCCAACAATAGCCAGGCAGTCGGCTCTGGAGGTTCACCTTTCCTACCCTCCCTTTGTTTAATGTTTCTTGTTAGCAGATTAACTTTTTCTTCCTGTTTAGAGGGCGCTGCTACAGTCTTTGACTGGTTACTGTTGAAGGACTGGGAAGAAATTTTCCTCCATTGCCAGGTTTTGTCTTCCCCGTAGCAATTCGTCACAACTTTGGTGGTTATGGCCTTGGGTGGAATCCTGTAGTCTTTTCTCTCCTATATGGGGGGGATGATGTGGTGACTCACCCCCCTGCGGCAGGGATTTCAGGGTCCCCTCTTAAAGGGGCTATGTATGGGTGTCACTGGCCATACACTGAAAGGTCATCAATGAACTACCCTGCGTGCAGGGATATGGGCTTGGCTGCCTGCTACACTTATGTCTCACAAAGCACCCCCATATCCCATTTACGCTGATGAGCCCCAGTTCCCCCGGCTGAGGGACTGGGAGGTATACATGCCCAAGGCCTAAGCCAAGGTCTTCCTACATTCGGAAGTTTAATAAAGTTTGGCCTAATTTTAATTCCATATCCCTGGGGGCTGGGCTGTTGCCACCTGGTCACACAATGCAAGAAGGTAAATATATTGAAAGCAGAGTAGCGAGGTAAGGAAAACAAGGTGCGGCACCTCCTATTCAATATGAAATGAGGAAGAGAGAAGAAAAAAGGAGATACATGTTGGACTGCTGTGCAAGATCAGTAAGCAGAAGAATTAAGGACAGAGATAAGCAGCTTACAATGTGAGATAGGAAGATCAGAAATAATACTGTGCAATAATCTATATGTGAAAGAATGATAAGCTGAGTTAGTTTTATCTACATCAGTAAGGAAAAAAACAATGGAGAAGGAAGGAAGGAAGGAAAATAAAAGTAGGAAAGCTAGGTTCAAGTTTGGCTAGAGTATTTGGGATGGAATGACAGCAAGTTCCTATATATTTTTTGCTCTGTGTTGTAAAGGTAAAGGTAAGGTAAAGGACCCCTGGACGGTTAAGTCTGGTCAAAGGCGACTGTCGGGTGCAGTGCTCATCTTGCTTTTCAGGCCAAGGGAGCCGGCGCTGGTCCACAGACAGCTTTCCGGGTCATGTGGCCAGCATGACTAAACCGCTTCTGGCGCAATGGGACACCGTGACGAGTGTCAGAGCACACAAAAACGCCGTTTACCTTCCTGCCGCAGCAGTACCTATTAATCTACTTGCACTGGTATGCTTTCAAACCACTTAGTTGGCAGAAGCTGGGACAGAGCAATGGGAGCTCACCCCGTTGCATGGATTCGAACCACCAATCTTCCGATCGGCAAGCCGAAGTGGCTCAGTGGTTTAGACCACAGCGCCAACAGCGTCCTGTGTTGTATATACAACAAACAACTAATATACAACACAGTGCTATCTTTCTAATAAAAGAGGTGCCTGAATTCACCATGAACACCTCCCTTGTTCTCTTATAATGGCAATGCACCCACCTGAGAGGTGCTGGAATTGAGTTCCAGCTGGAAAAAAAGCCCTGCTGCCATCTTATAAAATATCAGGACAGTTTACAGCAACAATATAAAACAATAAAATACAAAACAACATTAAAAACCTTGCAAAACAATTTTTTAAAATGGTTAAACAAAAGTTATTCAAAACTGCTATGTGGGCCTGTTGGCATAAAAAAATCTTGAAGAGACACTTAAAAGTCAAAAGTGAAGATGTCTGATGTATTTCTGCTTAAAGAATGTTCCCCAGCACGGAGATGGGCAACACTAAATGCCTAACTTTTGGTTGAGGTAAGTTGGGCCTCTGTGGCATGAAGGGCAACTAACATTGCTACTCTGGATTATCTCAGCTAGGATATAAGGGCTCAGGCAGTCTGTAAAAGATCCAAGATCCAAGTGGTCAGGGCTTTGTATGTTAACATAAGAGAGTTCAACCTGGCCTGGTAGCAGATGAGCAGCCAATGGAGATGTTTTAGCAGAGGTGTCACATCACCTACACCAGCTGGAGTTTCAGGGCCAAGGGCAGCCTCACATTGCAGTAATCTAGTCTCAAGGTTACCAATGCTAGGACTCTAGTAGTCAGATCCTCCTGATCCAGATATGGCTACAGCTGGTGTACAAAATGAAGGCACTCCTAGTTACAGAGGGCACTTTGGCCTCTAACAGCATAGATGCGTCCACAAGCTACATACTTGCTAGGATTGTACCCTTTGTTAGTCCAGCCCACTGACATTAACAGACACTGTTTTTAGGATGCTTCCTATAATATTTTATAGTACAATATGTTTGCCATTCAGGGCTCCTCCAGAAGGAAAGGCAGGATATAAAAGAAATACTGTGATGGGATGATGAGCTGCTTGTGCGTAAAATCCTAGTCCCTCAGAGTTTGGCCAAGTCCGCAAACCTCTGCCTACGACGGAGCCCCTCAAGCATGGCTCCGTCAGTCGCTAGCAGAATCCGACAGTGGGCGCTTACGGAATCTCTTCCAGCATAAAAGCTCCTTAACGGAAACACGTCTTCTGGAC